TGAGGGTGTGTCCAAAGCTTCTCTTGTCATCTGCTGAATAGGCATGATAACATTTGTCTATATACTTACAGCATAGCGGAAAGATAGGTTGAAAGTGCTGTCATTAGCCCGCAAGCATCTCTCCTTCTCTGTGAGAGAGTAAAGCAGTCAGAGCAGGAGTTTATGCTACTGTATGTTACAGCAGTACTGAGGAAAGAAACTCAAATTAAATTTATGGAAACATTTCAGAGCTGTTAGTCCAGCAGCATTTTGAAATGTTCACTGCTTGCCACAAAAATAAATAAATAAAACTAAAACTGAGACAGCCATACAGTAACTGAACAATGCAGTAAACTAGAGCAAAGTTTACGTGCATCTAATCTCACCTTCCTTATTTCCGTGTCCACACAAATGGCAAAAGTATGACAGCACAGTTCCCATCTTTAACTCAGGTTCTCCATGTTTTATAACCTGGAAAAACACACATTTCAGTCCTAATTAGTGAGTCATTTCTTTATTGGTATTATATGTCGATATAATAATAGAGTGCATTTATATAGCGCTTTTCGAGACCCTCAAAGCACTTTATATTTCCACTATTCACTCACTCTCACTGTTGGAGGCAAACCACAGTTGTAGCCACAGCTGCCCTGGGGCAAACTCACAGAAGCAAGGCTGCCATATCACGCCATTGGCCCCTCTGGCCATCACCAGGAGGTGAAGTGTCTTGCCAAGGACACAACAACCAAGACAGACAGAGCTGGGGATCGAACCGGCAACCTTCCGGTTACAAGATGAGCTTCCCAAGCCCCTGAACCACGGTCACCCAATGGATATAAAAACCAAAAGGGGAAACTGTGGCAAAAGCGAGAGGGAACCAGTTGCTATAATATTTAAGGATTAATAGTGAAAAGGTGGAGCTGTTTAAGATGTACAGCACACCTCGTAAATTGGATATGAGGGAAAGACAGATGCAAAACATCCCAAAAATAATAAATCTGAGGTTTCACAACATATCTCTCCATCAATCTATAGATAGATAGCCATCAGTCACATACTTGTCAAAATTTCCACTCCTCCCCATTTTATCAGTTCTCCAAAGCTGTAAAGATATAGTGCAACTCCCTTTCAACTCTTTGTACTATAGTTAAATTTAAGAGGTAACAATCCCTAACTACACAGATAGAGATAAAGATTCATCCTTGACCATTTGACTTGTTCAGTAATCAGCCCATAATAATATGCAGGTATTGTATTTTTCAGGAATTGTTGTGGATAAATGTTTTTCAGTGAGACATAAAAAATATGAATTGATCACAGGGCAATATAAAAAATATAATTAACTGCTTCACTTTTCAGTGGTCAAATGCTACCTAATTTGTTAAGAAGAAAAAACAAATTTATCCATGAGCCATGAAAAAATCAAGAAGCCCTCTTTTGGCAGGTTTCATTTGATCCTTCTTCTTCCACTTGCAAAAATATTAAATAGGTCTGAATTACTGTAAACCTAAAGTGATTTAAATGGTTCTTGATAAGAACTAATAAAATGCAGCATTTTCTAATAGTTTTTTAAAGTCTGAAAGCGAATGAAAATCAACCACATACCTCAAACAAAAATATGATTTCTTTTGTCTTCTGGGTCCTGCTTGCAAGCAGACACAGGTGCTTGAATTTTAAGATTTCAACCCTCCTTTTACTTCCGTCTTTGAAAAAATAAATCCAGGTTTTTGTCTCTTCAGTGCATGGAAGGCCAGTTTAATCCTAAAAAGAGAAAGGAGGATCAACTGAGTCTTCTAGCAGGATAAAAGTCAACAGGAACAACAGGTGAGATGTTGTAGTTGCACCTACAGTAGAAGTTTTGGGCACATGAAACTAACTGCTAAGAGGTTATGTAAACCGTTCAGTGTTCGTTGGACTTGAGCAG